TTATTGGTGGTAGTAACGGTTAACCAGCCGGTTAACGAAACCGCCGGTTTTGCGCCACCATCGGATATTCGAACCGTCGTTCCGTTTTCCGGCTCGGTTTCGGTTCCACTTTTATATATTACCCGATTAAGTACGCTTTGAGATACCGCCACTGCGACGTTGGCTGGTCGTAACTCTCGCCATCAGCGAGCAGTAACATTGATAGACCACTTCTACATGCCACCCGAGAGGTCAACGCGTTCATTTTGTCTGCAAAAATGACAACTTATGGTTGATCCGCCGGCCTCCTCAGATCTATGGTATTATACCAGTCTGTTATTAAATGCACTTCTGTTTGGTGCTATAAATTGTAATTGATCGCAAATATTCGAACCGAAATAACCGAACCGAAATGTGAGAAACCGAAAACGCGAACCGAACCGGTGATAGTTCTGTGATTCGTTGCACCCCTAAGTTATTATCCACGTAACCGTGGGGATACACAGCTAAACTATCCAGATTCCAGATCCAGAGTTGTAAAATAGTATGATGGCCATGCAATGCTTAAACTTCGAGGAAAAGCACCCCCGGGAATTGCATAGCGACTGAAGCGTTCAATAAAACTATAATCGCAACTAAATACGAAATCTATTTACTAACCAACATTCTTATGTTCTATACCTTCTTTCACCTATATTTACCGCGTCTTTCTGTCAAATCCTACCAACAATATACGCTGCCGGCGCCCATAATACATAATATATATAAGCAGTAGGAAAGCGGATCGCAAATTCCTCGACGCTCGCTAGTATTCACACTTTCACAGCACGATACACATCCAACAGCTGCCATCTTTGTTTCCATGTCAAGAACAGTGTTCACTTTTATAAAAACTCTGTCTTGTTCGTAACGAGCTGTGTCACGCGAAATCACACAAAGACTGACGAAATTCTCAGCGTCGCGAACCTTGCCGTAATGTAGATGGCTGTCAGAATCAGGGGCTATATAGGACTTGGTGGGACTCGCTGCCCACGCTCGATTACCCATCGAGTGCACTAAGCTAGCCAAGAGGTGGGAGCCGAGAAAAGAGGTGGATAAACGTTCCAGCGTTGCGGGCGCAAGAATGAAGGTCACGAAGAGCGCCGGTAGGTGCTTCTTGATTCGACAGCGCATTACATTTACGGGGCAAGTTCGCGAACGCGACGAATTTCTTCAGTCTTGTGTGATTTCGCGTGACAACAGCCTCGGCTACGAACAGAGCAGTATAGTTTTTATAAACAAGTAAAACACTGCTTCTGACAAGAAATAAAGATGGGCAGCTGTCGACCCCCGCCCCCCACCACCACCACCACTACGCTCGCACTCGATGCATTTCCATGATAACATGTTAATATAGCGAATTCATTATAGTTACACAGCTGTATCTTCGTTTAGATTTTGAGAAGAAATGTTATGAAAGTAGCAATACAAATGAGTTCTAGTGAATTTTTGCAACAGACGAGCTCACGGTAGGTCTATAGTATATATAATATTATAAGCATTTAACTTTTGAAGGATTTGTTTACTGCATACGCTGCTGCGTTTGCCAGTACCTGTGGTTGTGCAAGGCTCACATTTTACAGTGACACTCCACACATAACTCTTACTTGAACAACGTTGACTTACTTAAACAATAATTATATATGAGATTCTTTAGTGTACGAACACACTCGCACTCTCGCACAGACTGGCTTTTTGTGGCCGCTGATAGCTGCTCAAAATGTAGACTGGTAGTCGATCCCACCTCTCGGCTTATTAGGCCTCACTGGGCCTGGCAGAGCGAGCATAGTGAGTGGAGTCGACGGCAGGGACCCGTCTAGTCTTGCATTGCACGATACGGTATGTTTTTGATAACGCCCCCCCCCCCATCTATCGGGACAGACTTAAAAGAATGTGCACGGATGATAGTAGCTCTAGTACTCGCACGCATTCAAAATCAAATTCAAATTCAAATAAAATTTATAGCAAAGATAATTGATGTTTATACAGGCAAGTAGTGTGTTGTAACACAAGAAAATATCTATACTACGTAAGAAATAAATCCATCTGTCTATCGGAATTACACGATTTCGTTGGCGCCAGGTGTCGCTGCGTTTTGTTTACGACATGCTGGCTACGCCCTCACTGCCTCAGGCTACTCGCATATGCAAGCAACGTTTATATCTACATATAACATTTATATCTAATAGTCATTCATTGGTGAAATGATGTGTACGCAACGGCATATCTGCGTTATGGTAGCTACGTACGCGCCTGATTTCGTAGCAAATGTCTATGGTACCCCACCCAATTCACGAAGGTTACGGATACCATCCCCATGTTTCAGCGCATATAATTATGCGAACATATCTGCGCCTAACAAAGGTGTCACTACGCACGACTGAAATTTTGAGTTTATAACCGTAGCAACAGACCTCAGATGAGCCCAGTCGCTCTGCGGCTCTTGTTTTCTAAAGCAGTCTGTATTAGCACCCTGAGTAGCACCCTATATTAGCACACTGTAATAGCACCCTGAATGCTCGCGTTGGTACACATGCGTCTAAACAGAGGAATTGCTCCGACCTGTGATTGGAGGATAAAAATAGACCCCGCCCAGTTTTCCATTTTTGGAGGATAAAAATAGAATTCGTGACGTTTCGTTTCATCGGTCATAGCCGCGCGTGCATATTTGCTAATTAATTAGACTAATCGCGCTTCAATAGACTCAAAATTCACAGCGATTAAGGCTAAGACATGTGTCTATAATAGCTAGAATTTATAAAAATGTAACTAAAATCGTTCGCTCCATATGATAGTTAGTACACGTTCCTACCCGTCATAGCATAGCGTATGCGGCGGGAGTGGGCGGGTTCTATTTTTATCCCCCAATCACAGGTCGGAGCGATTCCTCTGTTTAGACGCATGTGTTGGTACTGGGTAGGCAAAAACACGAGGGCAACCCATTACGCATGCATGGTGGTGAACTGGCACTATTCTATTCATAACTTGAGCAGAGACCTCCGCCAAGGCAGCTCAATTCTCTCAGTGAAAAATTTAAGTAATTAATTAATTAAATAATTAATTGGATCCGGATCACGACCAAAATGTAATCAATTCTAAGTTACCCCATTTCTGACCTATCCTGAAAATTTAATTAATTAATTAATTAATT